CTAGGACGCTCTTTCCTGCTGCTGGGCTGTCTCCGTGGGAAGCCCTGCCACGGGAGCCAGAGTCGAGACCAAAGGCTGTGGGCTGGATGACCCCGCTCTGTGGGCTCCCTGACATCGAGGGATTGCGTGCCTGGTTCAATGATACAGTTCCCATCCCCGCAGCTGGTTCAACTGGAGTCTTTGATGGTTACGCGAGCAGAGAGGAACTGAAGAGGTACAGACACCGAGAATGCTGAAAAAGACGGAGCCATTTATAATTTTTTTTTCTTGTCTGGTTATCGCTACACTTTACATTTTAAAGGTCATAAATCTTTTGGTTTCAGCAGAGAAATTATGCAAAACTGGCGTTGCATAAGACAGAAGGGAGTTAGAGGCTAGTTTAATCATTTTATATTGGCTAAAGTACAGTTGCTTTTTAAATGGCCTAATTTACATACATCTGCAAGATCTCTGGATCTGTAAAACCAATTGCATAATTCAGTGAAATTGGAGAATGGGGTTTTTTAAAGAAAGTGCATAGCCCAGCAGTGGACACAGCACTAGGACTCCTGAGCTCTGAGCCTGTCTCTTTAAGTGTGTGGCTTTGGTATGTCACTTAGGTCCTGATCCAAAATTTGTGAGTTAGCAGACGCCCATCGGCTTCAGTGGTCTTTTGGATCAAGCTTGCCCAGAAAAGCAGCCGCCAGGTTTGGCTCTCCAGTTTGAGATTCAGCAAGTGTGCTGTTTGGTGCTGAGCTCCCTAGGCTGTCTTTGAATCCAGTAGAAATTGCGAGTGCTCAGTACCGTTGGTTCCAGTTCCAGTTGGGCAACCAGACTTAATGCAAACGTTTGGCAATTTGGTCCTTGATCTCTCTGCTCTTAGGTTCCTGATTCATAATATGGAGCCAGTGAAAGTGTCCTGCCTTCTCGGGATGGGAGGGACATAGTGCAAAGTTCAGAGCCTGCCGTGTTATGAGAAATGCTGCAAAACCTTCATGCAGTGAAGCACTTGAAAAATCGAGCTTCTGGGAGCAGTGTATTGGCTAAGAAACATTGATAATCCTCTTGCTGCTCAGAAACACTCCACTCACCCTTGACTATAAGACCACATTGTGAAGAGCATTAACGTGACTTGTGGATTGGCATAAGTCCCCTCCGAAGCAATGATGTACCCCAAGCTTGGGGTCATGTCCTGTGTAAAATGTGGAGGGGTTCATTCCACCTGTTCCTTCCAGGGAATGAAGGAACAGGGAGACCCTCCTTCCTTGGGTGTGTTGATCAATGCCTAGCTGGGCAGGGGGAGTAGGGAAATAAGTCACATCATCTCACAAGGTGCAGTCAGATTGCTTCCATCCCTGGAGAAATAAAGAAAAACAGGCTACTTCTGGGGCTGCGCTGTTTACCAAGTGTTGCAGGTGGTTCCTGTTTAGGCACCATATTTGGACCTTTGGTGGCATTGCCTTTGGTGGCATTTGGTGGCTTTGTTTTTTAAAAAACTCTTTTCGCATTTTAAATTCAGTTATGCTTCTGCAAACATCACTGCCCACTCTGCTGTTGACATCAGCTGGAGCTTGGGTCTTGTAGTATTTGGCCCTGTACTGGCAGTGTTGTTATTAAATGGCTCAGAAATACTAGGATAAATTGTTGGATAGTTTCTATTTCTGTGACCTACCGGATTTTATTCCTGTGTTTTAAGTGTGGCTGTATCCAAGAGCTTTCAAATGTTACTTGGCTGTTTTTGAAAGCCCCTTAGCTCCTGGAGAAATGAGCTTGCTGGAAAATTAATAAACCTGATTTGCAAATGTTCAGAAAGCGTTTGGATTCCCATTCATCTGACTTTAGAACTATAACAGCATTGTCACTGCAACCAGTGAATTAACTCGAAGCTATTCCCTTGCCTGCAAAGCAGGGTGGAAGGATGGGCGGATACTTCATAGGTCTTTCCAAAGCTTTGGGTTGAGGGTCTCTGTGGTCTGATCACAAAGGGGTGGGCCCTGCTTGCCTTCAGAATGAAGCTGGGATTCACATCTTGGTCTCCCCATCGAATTTCCTTGGGGGAGAATGAGAAACGGAAAATGTGTAGCAGACCTTGTCTTAGTGACCGGTGGGAATATGTGCTGTTTTAATTCTGAGACTGTTCAAGGAGCTTCCTAGCTCTTATCGTGAGTTAGAGATGACTCCAGCTCTTTAACTTACATACCAGGCATGTCTACTGAGCAGTAAGTTACTGTGCAGCAAGAACTTTTTACACTGGCATCTACACGTGCAGGCATTACAGGGTAGTAACGCTGTGTGTGGACTGACTTGGGAGTAAAGTTAGTCCCAAGTCAGTCCATACACACAACGTTACTGCGCAGTAGGCATCTACATGTGCCTTACTGTGCAGTAACTAACTGGGTGTAAATTTGCTACCTGCATAATGCAGGTAGCAAATTTAACTCCCAAGTTGGCATAAGTCACTATAGTTACTGTGCAGTATGGGTGCGCACTTGTAGACGTGCTCCTGTACTGTGCAGCAAATTTTGGTTACTGCTCAGTAACTGTGCATGTGCAGATGCACCCTCTGCTTCCCAAGACCCCGTGTGAAAAGCTCCCCAGGGTCCAATGTAGAAGGCCTCAGGTTTTTCTCTTCTTAACTATAGCATGGGCTTATTGGGCGACTTGGGGGCTAGGCAGTTAGGGATACTTCGTTTTAAAGGGCAGGTTTCCTTGAAACCTTTGTGCTCATGCTCTTCTACGTACAGTTGACAGGTCTGTAAATCTGAATGTGTCCCCTTCTCCACCCCAGGTGCCTGGCTGTAAGTGTAAACCTGCCTGTTAGAGGGCCAAGGACTCAATATTTCACCCACCACTGCTTTTGCAGGCATAAGTGTGGGCAGCAGTTGTGTATATCCCATGTCCTAAAGGGCAGATGCCCTTGTAGAAAATCTGGCATGTAACAGGCGTGTATGCCTGGGTTTCCTCCTCCTGCCTACCTTCCCCAAGTGCTGCTAGAGGTTAATTCACTAAGGCTTCCAAAGTGCTTAGAAAGCACCAAATGGCAAATGCGATGCTGAAGTGCAAAGCATTAGGAAGTGATTTGTAAGCAGCTGGAAGGGAAGGTTCTTTTGGGGCGAACCCAAGAGCTTCTCAAAGTGCAGACAAAGGATTTGACAGCTTTGGGTCAAATCCTCTGGTGGTGTAAGATGGTGTAGCTTCATGGATGTAACTAGAGCCATGCCTGGCAATATTGATGAAGAATATGACCCAGTATTTTTAATACAGGTGAACAGATTTCAATATGTTTTCAAGGGCTTTTTCTGAGCAAAGCTTTCAATTTTTAGTTGATTAAAGTTTTTTCTAAAGTTTGCTAATGTTGCTATACTTAGAGCTATGCCTTTTGTTTATCAACCTGTTCTCTTACAACACCAGAGTTAAGCTGGAGGTGGAAAAAGTCTGATCTCCGTAACTCCCATTAGTAGCAATTAGAATTCATCCTCTGAGTTTCTTACTTGCAGATGCATGAGACAAATTACAGGGGGCCTTTTATATTCTCTGAAGCTGAAGCCAATTTTTTTTCCAAATTATCTAAGGGATTTTGGTACTCAATTTCCACTCATTTTAAAAGGAATTTGGACATTTAAATCCCAGAGGCAGCTATGTAAATTCTGGCTTAAAGCTTATGCATTAATGTTGAATCCTAAGGAAATACAGATTTGTGGCATTTCTCTCCAAAAGAGTGGATCAGACTTTGTGAAAGAACAGAACTTGGGGAATTTGGTTCTTAGTTTTTCTAAATGTCAGGGAGTTTGCACATTATTGGCCTGCCAGACATAGATGTGACTGTGCCTTTTCTTCTCTGTGATCATTTATGAAATGTGCAGAAATATCTGTTAAGCTAAATATGAGCCTGTGAGGTAGTAGGAAGTGTGTGGTTGCACATACGGTTGCAAAAAAACAGTTGGGATGATTAAGTCGTTATCACTTTCAGCTGGTGTGAATCAGTGTAATTGATTTCACTGATTTATGTCTACCTGAGGATTTGGAGAGGGTGTGTGTGTGCGTGCATGTGCTGCATCTAAAACTTTAAAGTGTTTGTGGCGAGACAGTAGGGGGTGCTACTATGCTGAGCCACCGACCTCACTGTGCCTGGCCTACAGTTACGCTTTGGGAGTCTCCCCAGGGCACCTATGTCCAACCGTCCCCCTTCCCGGAGACCTTCTGCAAACCTGGGGTAATACTGCCACCACCCGGGTACTGGTCTCAGTTAGGGCTTTGTGCAGCCTGGGGTACACAGACCCAGCCAGCCTTAGGGGTGCTTTGCCCCCTGGAAGTATATCTGGGTGCTCCTTGTAGCCTGAAGCCTTCCAGTATATTCTCAGGTAGGACTGAATTAATTTTTAATGAATAAACTGCTGAGCACTGCTGGGAGTGAAATGCCATCTGACCCCTCTCTACCCAGGCATACACAGCTAGGCGTGCTGAGCAAGATAGCCTTTTTATTAATCAGAGAGAGAGGATGGGGGAGGGGTACCGGACAGAGAAATAGTAAAAGAAAAATGCCTTGAGCAAAACAGAGTGGGCTTGATGGCCCTTTTGATCCGCAGCTAAAGTTACATAACCCTGATTTACTGGCTGAATTTCAGGTAAGTTACTCACATGTTCATATGTTCATCCAGAGACTGAGAGAGCTCTGGAGGGTCAAGCTTGTTTCTGTATCCCAAAATGACTGCCGTCCCCTTCCCCAAAATGCCTGCTCCAGGACAAAGGAAAGAGCGAGCTCTCCCCTCCCATAGGAATTTTTACAGCCCAGTCCCCTAGGTGACCAGATTGAGACCAGGCAGTGTGAAAAAACTGGAGGTGAGGCAGACAAAGGAGGATTTCTTCACACCTTTAGCTGTATTTTCTCTGGCACCTAGAAAAAACACAAAGCTGAAAAGCCTGTGGCCATGCCCGTTCTATTCTCTCTATAATGTACATGGCAGTTGATTTCAGTTTGCAGCACTAAGTATTTCTCTTTTCTCTTTTTCCCCCCCCCCCAGCAATCAAGGAGAAGTACGTGGACTGGACGGAATTCCTTATACATGATTTAACAGGCTCCCGAACTGCACCTGCAAACTTGCTGGAAGGCGTATGTATTAGATTGCAATTTATATCTGATCATGTGTCACGGTACTTATGCCCTAGCAGTGTTTGACCTTTTTAAAACAAAGGGCTTTGTGCATGCAGTGTCTGTTTATCCCTTACAGGCCTGACCCAGTGCCTGCCCAGATCAAAGAAGTACTTCCATGGAGTTCAATGAACATTAGATCTAACCAAGTAGGAGGAAATTTAAGTGTTTTTTAGGATGGGGCAACAGAAAGCCCTGAAGTCACAGAAATCAAAGTCCCCTTATTCAGGATGGTCAGCTGGCAACAGGCTTTGACTCTTTTAGGTGCAAGAGTGCCCTATGGATAGTAGGGAAACTCGCTACCTGTTGGGCAGGTGAGAAGTTGGGGACATATGAAAACACAACCAAGCTGTCTGCTCATGTTATTGAGCTTGGCACTATGTACAGGGAACCCTGCCATGCCAATTTTACCCAGTTTCAGCATCCTTGATAAAGTCAGATCCCAAATCATGTTTGTGAGGAGTCTCGCCCACAGATCCCTTTAGGTTAGTCTTGGGCCTGTTCATGGTTTCATCTTGAAACTGTACGAAATCAGCAACTTCTCCATCAGGGCTCCTGTCGAAGGAAAAAAGAGGTGGCCATCAGGGGAGGTACATAAAGTCCATGCTTGCAGGGCTGCCTGAGGCTCAGGTAGGTAAGGAATAACCCTGATGAGGTAGGGGAGCAGAGTTAAAGGAAGCATGTGGCTCATCTTTGCATAAATAGTTGCCTACCTCTGGAATACACATGCATCTCGACATTTCTCTCTTGGATTACTTTGTTCCTGTCCGCTTATGCAGGTCAGATACTTGCAGGATTTAATGTGGGGGCATTTTGCTAGCTAGGCATAGATGTTGACTTAATAGAATATAGTTGAGGTTCACAAGACCAAAAATGCTGCACACTCAAAGAAATATATGTGATCATGTTCCTCCTCACTCCTGGCTAGAACATGAAAAAAACTTAAGTGTTTGACTCCTTCCTTGGAGATTGTAACTCCAGATGAGTATAAATGGGATTAGAATAAGCCCCAGTCCTCCTAGTTGATTCAACTTTTCCATCCTTGTGTAGGCAGAGGAGACAGGCAGGCAAGTGGGGCAGAAATACAGAGGGAAGAAACAGTAGCATAGAGAGCATCTATTTGCAATCTTGTGTTAATTATTCTCTGTTCGGTGCAGTATGTATATGACAGTACATATTATGCAGTGTTTGCAACCTCTACTAAATAGAATTACTGTTCATCAGCACTGTAGACCATTGTTACAGTGTTAAATCAATATGCAATGATGATTTTCTGTACTGTAGCTATTCATAAAAGTTCTGGCTTTATTTTCAATATTAATACTTAATATAACCCACATATTAATTTTAGCTATTCTGCTCTCAGGGGTAAGTGACGACTGATTGGTTTAGCAACTAGTGCTCAAATCAGAAGCAATATTAGCTTTATAATGGCCAGGGATGAATTATAATAAATTAAGTCATTATGGTGCTACTATATCCTTTGATATTAAAGAATGTTTTATTGCACAAAAGCCATTGTGGTATGGAAGAAAAATCACATTACATCCAGTTGCTGCAATGTTGTTATATTTAGAAATCACATTTTACCATGACAAAATATTTTAAAATATTGTACGGTTACATTTAATAAATGCGATAAGAAAATAGCAGAGGTTATAAGCAAAATGTCTTGTACTGAGATGTATCAACTCATCGTAGAGCTGGTTAAAATTTTTATATGCTCTGAAATTTCAACATATTTTTAAAAATTGAAAATAAAAGAGAAATTTCTCCCCATTTTTCAACCAACTGTAGTGCTGGTCAGACACTTTGGAAATCATTCAAAATGTTGACATTGGGAATTAAAATCAAATCAGGACAGTTTTCTTTTTAAAATAATGTTTTTCTTTTTCTCCTTTTTCCCCTCCTACCAGCCAAAGAGAGAACCATTCTAGACTCTCTTTCTGATATACAGAATATCTCTTTTAAAAATCCCTAGAAAGCTTGATTTTTACTGTCTTTTTTTTTTTTTTGACAAGATTCAGTACGCACACAAATAATGAAAACTTAGGTCCTGATCTTTCAAACATTTTGTATGCACTTCTGTGTATTGCTTTGAGCAATTTGGACGTTTTATTGTTGCAGTGTCTCCACTCTCATGATTTATTAAGAAACTTGTGATTTTTTTTGAGTCTTTCTCAAAAAAACTCCAGCTCCTGGAATCAAGTGTTAGCTCAAGAATTTCATTTTTTTTTTTTTTAAATTAAAAGGAGGGTTCTGGCCTTGGTGATTGCAAAGAAAAGCCTGAATATGTGAAGAGGCTCAAATAAAAATATATCTCATGATCTGTCTCATGAATTTTGGAGCATGACTCTTTTTTTGAATGCTCAGGATTGGCTGTACCATGGTGGTAAAGTTAAGCACGTGTGTGTGTGTCTGTAGGATCAGGACCTAAGGACACAAGTAAATGAGTTAATTGGGTCTTCCTGGTTACTTTACTTATGCAATCATCTGTAATCCAGCAAATGCTTTGTGTGTTAGTGAAGCACACTGAAGTCAACAGGAGTCTTCCTTTGATTTCAGTGGGCTTTGGATCTATGATTGCATGTATGTCCCAAAACTTCGGCTGGAGTTGGTATGAGGTTAGGGTGGGATCCTTTGGTGTGATATGGCGCTAAGTCATCAGCATCCAGATAAATGAGTTCTTGAGAAACCTCCAAGATGGACCAGCCGCTCGCTCGCTCGCTCGCTCGCTCTCTCTTTTTTTTTTTTTTGGTGTTGGTTGAGAAATTAATACAACTGTTGTTTTTCTGTTTACTTCTGCCTTTGAACTTGGAAGACGCTGGGTAAAATGGAAAGGAGAGCAGACTGTTTGCTGATAGCTAGGATGGTGGTGTGAAAAACAAAAATAATCTGCTGTCATCTGTTTCCTTGAGCAGTCTTCAAATAAAGTTTAAAATAAGGAGTTTTGCTTCTATTTAAACAGCCTCTGCGAGGAAAAAACCCTGTAGACCTCATTACAGTTGATTCCTTAATAGAGCTGCAGGATACCCAGAACCCCTTTCAGTACTGGATAGTTAGTGTGGTTGAAAATGTTGGAGGAAGATTACGCCTTCGCTATGTGGGATTGGAGGAGACTGAATCCTATGACCAGTGGTTGTTTTACTTGGATTACAGACTTCGACCAGTCGGTTGGTGTCAAGAGAATAAATACAGAATGGACCCACCTACAGGTAAACCAGCTTGTTTGCAAATTTGATCTCACTAGTTGCACTTAAGTCTGTGTTTATAGGGAATTCAATGGCTCTGATGATTGTATCTACTGGTTCATCATTTCTGTGTCTCTTCTTTTTTTGACAAGGAGTTACTTAATAGAAACCTATTAGTATGGAGGAATTTGCTATGTACTAAAAGAGTAAGGATGCTCTTGTATTACGATGCCGTAACTCTGACTTGAGAAACCTGCTTTGCCATAGATCATTTTTTTTTCTGTATGACCATGGGTAAAACACTCGTCTGATCTGCAATTCCTAGGTGTGATGTTGCTTGCTTTGTGTGAGTTGGCTATTTGGACTGCATGCTCAATAGAGCAGTAGCGATGTTTTTAGGTTGCCTACGCAGGAATATGACCGAACATTAATCCAAATTAAGGCAAAGTGGCAAATATAAAACGGTTAGTTAAACTGGACTGCATGAAACCTGTGTGTGGACCCTCTAATTTAGAATGGAAAGGGACTTAATTTGGTTTAATGTAATTTCACCGAGAAGTGCATTAAGCTGACGGGATACTCTTAATTGGAAATGAATTTGGTTTAGCTTAACTTCATTTGAAAGTAAATGAAGCTAAACTGAATTAAGGCCCCTTTGATTTTGAACAAGAGTAGCCACACACAAGTTTTTCATTCAGCCTTGCTAATCTACTTTCAATTTTTTTTCCTGACCTGGATTAAATTTCCTGAGCATCCTTGGATAAGTAAGCCCTTGCTATGTTCATGCAGTTCCCAGCACAGTGGGGTCCTGGTCCTGAACTGGAGTTTGAATTAGTGTAATTCAAATAATAATGAAAAATCCCATGAGAAAGAAAGACACCTTTTGGCACATGCAAGCAGAAATAACTCAGTTGAAGCCGGGCAGGGGGCAAAAGCTTGATGTTTTAGAGGTGAAAGAACAAGGCTCTAGCCTGTATTCCCCTGAAGGGCATTTTCTGAATAAAAGCATCTGCTGTGTCTATATGACAACAGGACCAATATCACCCTGGGGGATATGCCTGTCAGATGACTTTTCCTGGAAGAGTTGGGCTGGATTAGGAGACTTTTGTTCCCCTTGCAGGCCTTTTTCCCCCATTTATTTGAGGTGCATTTATTTGCTGCCCTCATCCTGCACAACAGTGGGGACTCGCTTGGCTCTGACAACTTGGCTTGTACTGAACCCACAAACAGGCAAATTTCTCTTGGACGAGTGCAAATGGTTTCTTAGCCAAAGCATGGACCTTGGTGTAGGAACCGTGTGCTCTGTCTTAGCTTTCCCTGTGTTAGCAGAGCAGGTCACTTCACCCATCGACTCCGGAGACTCTTGGGTGTCCAGCTGGTGACTCTTGGGTCTCCATTTACTACTGGACAGCTGGTGGTGGCTTTTGGCAGGAGTCCTCAGCAAGGCCCAAGCTCCTCACACCTGTGGAGCTGTAGTGAGACACATCAACTACTCTACCAACCTGCCCCACCTCTTCCTAATTAATCCCCTCCTAATCCCTATGCTTGTCCCCTCATTCTCCATACCTACATTCCCAAATGTTGCTCTCCCTACTCCACAGACAAGCCCAACAGCAATTGAAGGCCGAGGATTTCTAAGTCTCAGACTTGCACAAAGCCCTCAGATATCTCACTTTCTCCTTTCGGCTTCACCGCTGGGGATGCAACTGCTTCCCTTCATGCACAGTGAAGGCTGCTGGCTGTATGGTACAGTGTTCACTGGCAAAGCCAAATGTTACAAAATGCATGAAAGTCACTGTGCTGCTGCTTCATGGATGTTGTTAACTCAAGAAATGAAAATGGAAGAGCCCGCTAATTGAATTTGGTCCTTAGTGCATCCTGCAGTGGTGTCCTAACTTCTTGTTCGGCAAGGTGACAACTGGAGCAGAGAAATAATAGGGCTATAAACTTTTCGAGTTTGGAAAAGAAATGGCCAGATGCTGCTCTAGGTATTAGGCATCTAAATAAACTTACAGGCTCAAATGTGCTCCTGTTCTACCCTGCTCAAATCCTTGGAAATCAGTTAATGCATCTGGTTGTGTACCACACCATCATCTTACCCTTAAGACTGAGTGATAGAAAAGCCACAAGGAGGAGGAGGACCCACCAATTGCACCAACTCTTCTTTCAGGGACTCAGACAGGGAGGAATATGATCCTGCTTAGGCACCTGAGGCCACTCACATGCCCGATAGTTGGAATAGGATCTGGCCTCATGTCCAGAAGCTGTGAGTACCTTAGAAAACCAATGTGTATTTATCCTATTTTGGGCCTGACCCTCCAAAATGCCAAGCAGTTGTGTCTCCTGATAGGATCTGGCCCCCGAGTGATAGACCCTGGGGTGTAAGTAGGGGTGGGTGAATGGGATGATTCAAAATTGGCCAACTGTGGCCTCGGCTACACCACAGTCCGATGGCTGGGAAATTGGCTCCAAGGTCGGACCCAGAGAGTAGTGGTTGATGGCAGCGAATCGTCATGGTGCTCCGTGACCGGGGCGTCCCCCAAGCCTCTGTCCTTGGACCGGTTCTCTTCAACATCTTTATCAACGCTGTGGACACTGGTGTCAGAAGCGCACTGGTTAAGTTTGCCGACGACACTAAACTTTGGGGCATAGCGTCCACACCTGAGGACAGGCTAGTGATCCAGGCTGACTTGGATAAACTTAGTAAGTGGGCGGACACAAACCTGATGATGTTCAATACCGATTAAATGTAATGTGCTCCACCTCGGGGGGGCGGAAACCCCGCCCGCAGCATACTTATAGGCCTGACAGTGCTACACTTGCTAGCACCACGGCTGAAAGAGACTTGGGGGTCATGACTGACCACAAGATGAACATGAGCCTTCAATGCGATGCTGTGGTTAATAACGCTGGCTTGCATCCATAGATGCTTCTCAAGTAAATCTCAGGATGCCATCCTCCCGCTGTACTCGGCCTTGGTGAGGCCACAGCTGGAGTACTGCGTCCAATTTTGGGCTCCGCAATTCAAGAAGGATGTCGAGGAGCTTGAGAGAGTGCAGAGGAGAGCCACGCGCATGATCAGAGGGCAAGAGAATAGGCCTTATGAAGAGAGGCTGCGAGCCAGGGGACTCTTCAGTCTGGAAAAGCGCAAGCTCAGGTGTGACCTGGTAGCAGCCTATAAGTACATGAGGGATGTGCATCAGGATCTGGGGGAACATGTGTTCACCAGAGCACCCCAAGGGATAACAAGGACCAATGGTCATAAACTCCTACAAGACCATTTTAGGCTCGACATAAGAAAAAATTTCTTTACAGTCTGAGCCCCCAAGACCTGGAATAGACTCCCTCCAGAAGTGGTGTAGGCATCTACTCTGGACTCATTCAAGAAATGCTTGGATGCTTATCTTACTGGGATCCTTTGAGTCTAGCTGACTTCCCGCCCCTGGGACAGGGGCCTGGATTTGATGATCTTTGAAGTCCCTTCCAGCCCTAACGTCTATGAAAATTTATGAAATCTATGAAAAGGGCCCCTAGATGGGCAGCCTGCTGTTCAGCAACCTCTAGCCCCCTGTCCCAGGACACCAAAATATCGGGTTCATCTCTGCAAGGCCCTCAGCTAATGTAAGATGACATTGTTCCATCACAGGCACTTTCTGCTGGTCCTTACGGTGCCTTTATGGTCTGCTTTCTTGATCTATCAAAAAGAAATGCACCATAGACTTTATTTCTTGTGTGACTATGCTATATTTTTCCCCCTATACTGAACATTAACCCAGAGCCTGCTGGTCTGGGTTTCACTTTGTTTTTTACATGTTTCCCATTGGGGAAAGTCTGCTGTTTCTCATGGAGCTGAGGATATAGCTTACAACCTAGAGTCAGGTGGGCAAAGATCCCTCCAGGTGATCTTTACACCCCTCTGATAGTGCCTTGCGGCCCAGAATTGGTGCAGCACCATGGGCAGCAAGCCTACCTTCAACCCTAGTCTGCATTGCTCCCATGCCGGGGTTTGCAAAGGTCCTCATGGTGGTCACACTTTCTGCCCAGGTTGTCCTTGCATACATGGAACCAGGGCTTCTAGCACCCCTTTACACTGCTTAAGCCTTTTAACCTGATATACAGTGGATGTAGTGGGGGGGTCCACCTGTACCAATATGCCAAGTCACCAGCTGATATAAATCATGGCACAATTGGGGATCTGGTGCCCAGCGTTTAGATGAGGTGAGATTGCCTCGGTTTGTATGACTTTTTAGGTAAAGATGAATTGACAGTGATTTTAATTGCTTATTTCTTATTACCCTGAATACAAATGGTCACAGTCCTCTTTGTTCAATTACCTGCAACACTATCTCTTAAAGAAAATGCGTTATGCTCCTTTAACCATGTGATTTAGTGTCCATAAACTTGCCAACGTAACTCAGTTGTCTCAGTCTAACAGAATGCGTACGTAATATTGCTCTCCAGTTATTGAAACCATTAGATGCATCTTTATCTTCCGCAGGTTGTTGACTATATGCAAAAAAAAATTGCAACTAATTTTCACCCAGTGTTAGTGCAAGGAACACCAGCCGCCCTGTGTTGGCTATCTCCTGCAACTCCACTGCAGTCACTGTAGGGAACAGGAAGCCTTTCAGGGCATTAGTAAATATAAAACACAGTAAGAGTGCAGGGAAATAGTTTGTGTTGGATCCTTTAGCTGGTGTGAATGGTGTAGCTTCAACACCACAGCTGAGTATCTGACCCTGGCAGTCCACAGCAGGTGTTTGTACCTGGCTAACCCCATGTGTTTGGAGGAGTTGTCAAAAACCCAGGGTCAGATTCTGTTCCCCACATTACAAATGGAAGTAGATACCCCAATGGGATTCTGTTTTACCTTGCACAAGTCCCTGAAAAATAGTTGATGCAAAAGGTATGTGACTCCTTCTCCTCCTTCTCGTTGTTTTTTGTGACTTGGTGTTAAGAGTGTCAGCGTATTACAAAAGTTGATGCCTGAACGGTTTTTCAGGACTTGACCAGGGTGCAAGAGAATTGTATGCAGGCGCCTAAATCCACAGACACTTGATAGGAGGACTAGAATCTGGCCTCGAGATTTAAAAACATAGTGATCATCGGGCTGTTTTCTGTTTCCTGATTATAAAGCCTTTTTGGAGCCACCTTTTTCTAGTTTTTTCTCTATGGGGAGCTAGAAATTAAATGAAACTTGGGTCCCCCCCCCAAATCAAATGCCTCTAGGATCTGGGCTGTATAAAAAGGTTAAGATCTGTGGCTGCAAGAGGTCTAAGCCTGGTATACAAAGGGCCTTTTTCTGATTGTTAAGTCTAAGCCCCAAAAGAAAGAGTG